ACCGGAGCTGCTACATCTGACTGCATAGATGCAGCACCGTATGGGACATAAGAGGTTGAGTCATAGAGCTGTGGCTGTTGCTGAGTATGCTCCAACATGCGAGCTTCTTCGAATGCATGTTGGAGCTCAAGATTGTAGTTCTCCAAAAGTCGCTGGCGAATGCTATTAGACATTAGTCCTGTGATGAAGGCGTCGCGGATATCCTCGTCACGATACTTTTCAGCAGAAACGGACGAGAAGTTACAGTCAACAGCGAGGCTGCGTAGTTTCTGTATAAACTGATCAACTGATTGTCCATTTTCTTGTTTAGTTATTGCTAATACATGGCGCGCAAAAACTTCGTTTTTCGGTTTGATATACAGAGCTTCTACGCTTCTCCTTGTAAGTGGAACACTCGATAAATTGCCGGAGATAAAATTGTTGAGGAGTTTTCTTGTATCGACGTCGGGGATCTCTACCGTTGAAAGAAAATTGTCGAAGGTGTCCTGCCAATGGATTCATTGCTCGGCTACTGTAGGAGAATGAGGATCAGCATCGAAGCGTTCGGGGCGGAAGAGACGTTCCATTGTTAGAAGATTAAATTGTTATGTTCGAGAGATTCGGAGTAATGCAGAAGAAGAATCTGGCCGTATATAGACTTTAATCTTCTAACAATCGTAGTACAAAAGCTAAAATGTAAGAAAAGAGAGAGAGTTAATAAAGTTCCATGTGGAATAGGGTAACTCATCAGTTTATGACACAACACACTTAAGTGTGTAATAAAAAAAGAGAGCATGAAATCCCTAACCAGGGAACTGGGTCACATAGGTCCAGTTAGGCTCCCTGGATGGGGATCTCGGGATGATCGTAACCAATGGTTAGAGACACTGATTGATATGGCTGAGTGTCGTAAACAGTGGCTTTCGTGCATCTCAATTTCTTTGCAACCTTAATCTACTAAAATTTTCCATTCGAATCCACTTTCAACTCTCCTATTTTTCTCCTACTGTTCATCCAAATGAGCAGTGAAAACCGGCGCACGAAAATGTATGGTTAATGGTTGTTCAAACTGAACTGATACATTTTGTTATTTTCTTTACGATTCCATTCTCATCCTTTTCAGACATGGCTTCGGACGACAGCGACGATGAAGTACGCGTGGCAGATATTTTAGACTCAATGAACGAGGAAATGGCAGTCGTCATGGGCGGACTAGAAAGTGACGCGGTTTGCAGTTTTACGAAGGTAAACACGGCACAATACCACGGGCATCACCATTTACGCTTTCAGGGTTACATGAAACGTCAAGCAGTTTATGCTTGCCGGACGTGCTTGAACATATCGACAAGTTTGGCAGGATTTTGCTACCAGTGTTCTGTTAACTGTCATGCAGAACATGATGTTGTTGAACTGTACACAAAGCGCAATTTTCGCTGTGATTGTGGTAACGCTAAGTTCAATGGTTTCCGGTGTATTCTCTGGGAGGTAAGCGTACGAAGAATAAATCTAATTAAGTCCGAAATAGGAAAAAGACGATGAGAATGTTGGAAATCAGTATAATTCTAACTTTTCCAACAAATATTGTACATGCAAACGACCTTATCCAGATGAAGATTATGAGGTAAGTTTTTGTTTTCACCCTTGACTTTATCAATCCTCTAGGGTTGCGAAGAAATGATTCAATGTGGCATATGTGAAGACTGGTTCCATGTGGAAGTGGGTGATTTTTATTGTCATATAGGCGCAATGTTGTAGCATTTAAATATGGGCAATCAATTTGTCAAACCAGAAGAATACGAAGAAATGACTTGTTTTCAATGCGCCCGGAAACACGCCTTCCTTTTACTTTATGGAATGTATGCTAAGGAGCAACCTTTGACGAATATGATTAATGGAGCCCTAAGTGAATGTCAAAATGGGAATAACGACATTCTGTGCATTAATGAATCTGATGCCAAACGCTCTCGGTTGGAATCAACTTCTGATCTGCTTAGTTCATCTGCTTGTCGTCTTTCAAGCCTTATTTCGGACCTTAATTTAAATATCCGAGACACTTATCAGATACAAACGAGCGATTTGCATTTGATTGATGAAAGTAAAACACCGTCCATATTTTGGTCTGAGGGATGGCGTGATCGACTGTGCTGTTGTTCCAAATGCAAAGTGAGTTGTATCATTGTATCATTCATTGAATCAATTTTTGCCTTCGATTGTCAATTGTATGTTCCCCATTGCATCACAGAATGATTGTAGTTAAATATTGTTTTAATTAGAGAACGAGCGTAAGACAAAGTTCCACCTCGCACGCAACTGCAGTATTTGAGTAGCGGGCGAATGTGAGCTTTGTATCAAAGGAGAGGGTTCTCGATAGTGAAGAAGCGCTTTGCACGGAATAGAAAACCAATTTCGCGAGAGGCGCGTGTGGAATTAAAAGCTGACCAAACGAGAGAAGAATTTATGGAGAGATGCTAAAGTGAGAGAGATTTTGTAAAACCAAGCAGTAGTTAGTCAAAAATGATTTAAGGAGAATGAGGGATATGTTTAAGAGATATGGAGACGAGAGAAATTTTGGAAGCATTGAAACGCATAGGCTAGTAGAACCCTATGCGAAAATGAGCCCGAAATCGGAAGCAAGAGAATCAGTGATGACATGACGATGGTGATGAGTATTGGTAGTAACCTAATCGGTCGTGGGGTAAGAAAGAGAACAATAGAGAGTGGCATCCTCTGTAAAGCAAGGAATGCCACTACAGTTTCTGGACAAAAATATCATTAAGAAATAGAAGAGAGAAAGCAGGAGAAAATGTCGAACCTTGGGGAACACCGACAATCACAGATAATGGCAGAAATAGGACCACATCGACTCGGACGTGGGTGGTTCAACCACTGTGGACACAGCAACCACCGAGTGAAACTGAGTAAGTTTCTCCGTGTAAGTGAGGCAATTAATGAATCC